CACACACACACACACACACACACACACACACACACACACACACACAGCACGGGGTAAATGAGGCTTATGGCTACTTTGCCACCACTGGAATGTAAACATTCACTGACCCAGACTCTTTAAATATTAACGGACACACACACACACACGAGTTTTACGCTCGCCGCTCAGCAGAATTAATATTTAATGCCAGTAAGTCCTCACAAAACAACAAATAGAAAATACTACAGCGTACCAGAGTATTCAGAAATAAACAATTTTCAGCGTTTGTCCTCCTAAACTGAGGAGGAGGAGTCAGTGCAGAGGAGCTGCACGGAGTTAATACGTTGTAATGCACTGCAGAGCCACCAGAGGGCAGTCTCTGCTGTCGGATGAGGCTGCTGAGCTCGGCGAGCTGTGAAAGAAGGCGAGCGGTAAAGAGAGAAAAACACAGCCACCCTGTTTGGAGGCATCGGGGGGTTAGCCCCATTGATCGAAGTCAGCCAGCCAACACGGAGGAAGCTGTGCGGCTAAAGAGGGTAACGCTAAAGACTCCACCCCACACAGGTCATCGCTGCGTGAGCCACAGGAACAAGTTATAGGAGGTCATTCTGATTTGTGTTCACACCTCTGGACACCACGTGGCACTTCTTTGTGTTCGCTGTGTAATTGAGTGTTGTGTGTTAGGAGGAGGCGGTAGAGCAGCAACAGGTGCTCACCACCCAACTACGTGGGTTCTCCAGCGTTGATCTTTGGAAAAAAATATAACCAATCATCTAAAAGAATTGATTAGTTTAAAAAGTAATAAATAATAGATCTGCATATTATGTAGGATTCATTTTCTGCAGCATTTTTGGCTGCAGTAAAGAATAAAGCCAAAGTCTCGTGTTATAACAATGACGTAATTGTGGCATAAATGAACTACGTGTAAAAACGCTCATTAATAATTAAGATTAATGTTGGTCATGTGACACACTTTCAGTAGCTGGACCTGCTTTCTAAAACACGTCTGTAACTACCATGATGTCACCGTTGGTTTCCATGGTTCCCAGGTGTAGTTTGAAGCCTCAATCGTATGTTGGCCACTGATTGTTGATTTTTGGGGGGTCATTTTTAAGTATTTATGATTTGTTTTGTTTTTTAGTCAGAAGTGGCCATATTTGGACGAGACGTTTGACTGTTAAGCTCATGACACAGAAGTGACACCTGCTAATAAACAAATTCTAGAAACCAAAACCTGTGTAAAGACTCGTGGGATTGTCTGAGTGACGTGTCCGGCCATATTCTTTGTTAGACGATACCATTAAAAATGCTCTGAAAGGCACAAACACAGTGACTCCATTTAGCAGCGGTGAGGCGGAGCAGCTGCCTGTCAGTCAAAGCGGCCACGCCTCTAACTTCGAGCCCACGAATAAGGCTGAATAATTTAGTTATTAAAGAAACTGATGCCAGTGTTGGTTTGTTATAAAGCAGGATCAAACCCACAGATTTGATTTCTGCTTCTAATTTAACCCACGAGTCTGTGGGAACTGACCTGCTGTGGGAGCCTCTAGTGGCCATAGGAGGAACTGCAGTTTTTGACACTTTTGTGCTGGCTTCATTTTTTTAAAAAGTGTTGTTAAAAAAGTCGAACACTGTCCACCTCTGTGCTTCTGTGTTGTCAGGTTTGTGAAATGAAGCGAGCGGCTCAGGGCTGTGAGTTTTGTGTGTGGTACTTCTTGAGGCTTTGTTTCATATTGATGGGCGGTTACGCTGGTTTCCCCTCCATCGCTGCTCTTTGCGGAGCTGCACCGGCGCTGTGGACTCACACTGTCTGCACATATTTCAGCTTCTTTTCTTTAAGTTTGTCGAGAGTGAAATAAAAACTGAAGCAGCTTCAGGACAGACGGCTCACTGTCACGCGTCGCATCTGTGTGTGCGTGTGAAGCGATGATGACGATGACACTGGAGCCTGGAGCCGCTTCACATCGCTGTTGTCCTTTGACCTCCCGCCCTTCTGTTCCTCTCGCTGCACTTCCAGTGTTGTCACTTCGTGTTTCATCAGAGACTTCAGCTGGTTTGTGTCACGTGACTCTGTCTCCACATGAGCTCAGACCCGTTTCAACAGGCAAAGCAGAGAATGTGTGTTTTTGCACATGAACAGAGAGTGCTTTAAAAGAACACACAGCAGTCACATGAGTGATGTCGTGTTGTGAGTCTTTTTGTGTTGCAGATAGTGAGTCTGGTCTCTAAATGTTGATTAAATATGTCACGCAGTGAAACAGCTGCTGTGTGCTGTGGGGCGCTGATTGTCAGTCGAAGCATGCTGAAATGAACTGCAGCATTCTGTTACATTTGGCTCTCAACATTATTTTAAACTGTGGTGTGAAGTTGTTCAGAATGTCAAATTGAAATGTTAAAATCGCTGCGTGACACTAAATATGTATCAAATTTGCAAAAAGGGTCGATGTTCCCACAGAAGCCTCACGAGACAATTTTCAGGCTTTATTGACAATCGAATGGTCAAAAAGCTCCAACCTGAGTGAATCTTGCTCTGGGCAGCCTATCAACACCCAGCTGAGCTGCACAACGACGTCATGCCTGCACGTCAGCTGATCCTGCTGAGCAAGGTCGATACCACGGCGATGACGCTGGGTGACCTTCGAACTTGTTACAGGTTGGAGCCTGACACATGTGCAGGGTCTCACGCGCACACACACGCACGCACGCACACGCACGCGCGCGCACACACACACACACACACACTTCCTGTGCTTCGGTTTGTTTTCGGCACTTCCTGTTCTTGCTCTTTTCTTCTTGTTTATTTTCTCTAATATTGATTCATTTGGAAAGTCGGCGGTTTGAAGCGTGCGAGGCGGTTCGGCT